CTCACGGCTAAAGTTTTGAAAAATACTTTTAAAGATGTTTAAAATTTGTTTTTGTTTTGTGTTTTTGAGACAGGGTTTCGCTGTGCAGTTCTCACTGGCCTTGAACTCACTGTGTCTCCCGGCCTGGCCTCGAACTCACGGTGATCCTCCTGCCTCAGCCTCCTGGGTGCTGGGGTGTCAGGCGAGTGGCACCATGCCCGGCTGGGATTTTTTTTTTGAATGTATCTGTAATAATGAGTAACTGCCTCCGAGAAGCTGGTGACTCTTGAATTCCGTTGTAAAATAAACACGAGGGCTTTCGAGCCCGAAATAGATTTCCATGGCGAGTGCGCTCAGTACAGGCGCATTCCTCACGCAGCCCGGAGTGGACGTTAATCCAGAGCAGCTGCAGAGCTGCGCAGCGGTGCTCGGGTCTCCCTGCTGGGCCGTGCAGGGTCTGATGCTGGCGGTACCGCCCTGCCCTGGGCTTCCTTGTGCCCTGGCCCTGAGGCCAAGGTTTCACACCGGAGTAGTCACAGGAAGGCGAGGTCTTCTGCCCCCCTGGCTCCGGCCGGGGCTTCCTGGAGCCCCTCACTCTCAGAGCGGTCCCCGAGGGCTGCGGGAGACCTTGGTCGGGGCACTGGGACACCATCAGGGGCTGGCAGTGGCGTGGCCAGCGCACCTGTGGCAGGGCGGGGATTGGAGCCAGGAGGTGGAGGCCACGGCTTCTGTGCCCGGTGGTGCTGGAGACGTCCGACCGCTTCCGCGAGGAAGAGCCTCCAGGTTGGCATGAACAGATGTTTGTGCTCAGGAGGCTGAGGCAGGAGGATTGTTGGATATGAGTCCAGCGTGAAGTGCATAGCGAGACCCTGTCTGAAAAACAAACAAAAAAGAAAAATAAATTAGCTAAAGGAGACTGCTTGAGTCCAGACTGCTTCCCAGTACTTGCTCACTTTCTCTGTGCCCTTAGAGAAGTTAGGCCTGGCAAAGTGGCTTTTAAAACACATCTTTTTTTTTTTTTTTTTTTTTT